CTGGGTTCAGGCAATTCCCCTGCCTCAGCCTCCTGAGTAGCTGGGATTACAAGCACTCGCCACCATGCCCAGCTGATTTTTTGTATTTTTAGTAGAGACGGGGTTTCACCATGTTGACCAGGATGGTCTCAATCTCTTGACCTCGTGATCCACCCACCTCGGCCTCCCAAAGTGCTGGGATTACAAGCGTGAGCCACCGCGCCCGGCTCTTTTCTCTTTTTTTTTTTGACAGAGTCTAGGTCTCACTCTGTCACTCAGACTGGAGTGCGTGGTGTAATCACAGCTCACTGCAATCTTCATCTCCCAGGCTCAGGCAATCCTCCTGCCTCAGCCTCCCGAGTAGCTGGGACCACAGGCGTGCACCACCATGCCCAGGTAATTTTTGTACTTTTTGTAGAGATGGGATTTTGCCACGTTGTCCCGGTTGTTTTTAAACCCCTGAGCTCAGATGATCTGCCCACCTCGGCCTCCCAAAGTGCTGGGATTACAGATGTGAGCAAAACCTCTTATTTCTAAAGTACTATCTGGTTTAAAAGCATGAGAATAAAAGGAAACAAAATTAAACAAATATTCTCATAGACTTCACATACACCCAATTCTTCTTTTGAATTCTTAAAAGGACAGTAACGATGGACTCCTCTAAACCAGCAGTGAAAACGAACCTTGAACTGTGAGCTGACGGTGGGCCGCCGATGTTTACTTCCACATTTCAAGGTATCCTGGTTGTTGCGGCTTGAAACATGTTCAAAAAGATCGTAGATAAAGTCGAATCTGTGTGGGGCAAAAGCAGGACAGTAAGGCATACACACCCATTATTAGGTGCAAGATTACTGTAATTAATGGTGCCCTTTCCCAATGACAATTCAAAGTAGTACACCCTAGGCCTGGAAGAACTAAGACAGCTTCTGAAGATTTCAAACCAACCACTGCCAAAGAGTTTTAGGCACTGAAAACATGTGGCAGTGTCAGAGATCAGAGTCTTGCAGAGAAGGGGACTGGCCTGACAGTGACGCAGGGTGGTATTCCATGTAGGAGCTCTGTGCTTTCTGGAATGCCATCTAAACCTCTAGCCTCAGCTCCCTCGCCTGCAGAAGTGACAGATTTGTTCTGCCCACCTTGCAGTGTTGCAGAGATCAAAGCAGTTAACGGATGGAAAGGTGCTCCTGGGGAACACTAATTCCAGGGTGAGGCAGGCGATGGTTCAAATCCTGCCTCCACCACTTCCTAGCTGTGCTGCTTGGGCAAGATGTTTCATCTCTCCCTAAGCCTGTTTTTTGGGTTTTTTTCCTTCTGAGACAGAGTGTCTTGCGCTGTCACCCAGGCTGGAGTGCAATGACATGATGTGAGCTCACTGCAACCTTTGTCTCCCAGGTTCAGGCAATTCTCCTGCTTCAGCCTCCCGAGTAGCTGGGATTACAGGTGTTCACCATCACACCTGGCTAATTTTTGTATTTTTAGTAGAGACAGAGTTTTGTCATGTTGGCCAGGCTGGTCTCGAACTCAGGTAATACACCCGCCTCAGCCTCCCAAACTGCTAGGATTATAGGCGTGAGCCACTGCGTCCAGGCTTCAATAATTTTTTAATCTTCCTTGCATGGAAGGTATCATGGGCTATGGAGCTGGTGGCTTCACTGTCACCAGGATAGTCAGGGAAGACTTCTGACCATCTGCATCTCCCCAAGCAGCAATATTAGAGCTTTCCCTGGTCGCTTCTTGTTTTGCCCCAACCTTTGTCATTTCTGTTCTCGGGTGCTCTTTAATGCTCACTCTTTGAAGTTCTCTCACTGTGTTTTGAGCTCTTTGGAGAACAGCTTTGGTTCCATTAAAATGTCACAGATGTCAAAGGTGAAGGAGTGAAGCAAGCGAACAGCCCCAGCTCCTCAGTTTGCAAAGGGTAACCTGGGGTTGAGACAGGAAGTTCTCTACCCAACTCACAAAACTGCTTAACACAGAAGCAACTGGAGAAACTCCACCTTGCTGGTCTCTGGGCCTGCAATCTTTTCACTATGACAAATTGCTTCTACTTAACATCAACACAGGGCTTTTATTTAAATGTATCACATTAATTCCGATAACGAAGAAATTGCTTTGACGGCACGTGTTTAAAAAACACCCATCATTTTTACAGGTCTGAAAACTCACCTAAAAATAAAATAGCTACCCATGTTGTAAATAGTGAATCCTCACATGGAAGAACTAAAAAAGTCAGAAGATCAAATATTTCAAATTCTGAGTTTCTAGGCTGATACTACCACATATGGGCTCCCTTAGTCCCAATTCATTTCTAAGTGACAGAGTGGCCATCTCATATTTACATTTCTAAAAATATTATAGCTTTTAAACTTTTTTGCTACTTTCCTTCCTTAGATATTAAAAATGTGCTTTTGTTACAGATTCCTACCAGATCCAATGCAGGCACTGAAAGCTTTCAGGCAAGGGTTTTTTCCCTAACATCTTTCCCTCTTATAAAGCCTCTAAAAATGGAACACTTCTTGGACTAATACATATAAATATCTAAACTAATCACTGAAAGTTTCTGCCTGTTTTCTTTATTGATTTAATGGTGTAAAGTTATAATTCATGAATGAGTGAATATGTAATAAATTTATAATTATAGCTGAATTAAGATGTGTTTATTTTCTTTGACATTCCTTACTAACTAGAGACATAGGAGTTCTGTAAAACCAAGGCTGAAACCAACTTAACACACAGCTCAAAGCTCCCTGTGAAGAAAGCAGGTCACAGTGCTTAAGACCTTAGGTTCTAAAGCCAACCAGACCAGATCAAAACTGGGCTTGATGGGTCACTGGCTACCAGCTGAGAGGTCTTGGGGAAGTCACTTAACAGCTTTAGTTAAAGCCTCAGTTTCCTCATCTGCATAAGAGGATTAATAGTAGGTTACCTATGCCTCTGTGGTTTATTTCGGTAGCTCACTAAGCTGCATCATTGACTGTATTATTAATATTTTATTTATGTATCTATTTTTTGAGGCAGAGTTTCACTCGTTGCCCAGGCTGGACTGCAATGGCACAATCTCAGCTCACTGCACTCTCTGCCTCCCAGGTTCAAGCGAGCTTCCTGTTTCAGCCTCCCGTGTAGCTGGGATTACAGGCACCTGCCACCATGCCCAGCTAATTTTTGTATTTTTAGTAGAGATGAGCTTTCACCATGTTGGCCAGGCTAGTCTCAAACTCCTGACCTCACGTGATTTGCTGTCCTTGGCCTCCCAAAGTGCTGGGATTACAGACGTGACTCATCGGGCCCGATCTTGCTTATATGATTATATTATACTTTTGAATCATTTTATTGATGAAATATTACCCGGGGAAAACAATTTTAAGTTTCTTATGTAATAGTAATGTTCTGTATTTGTGAATTAAGAACATTTGCACAAACATTCCTTTGCCTGCTACAGACTTCCCAGGGAGAAGACTGGCATACCGGCTTTCTCTTAGCAAGTTGAGCAAGTCATCTCGAAATGTATCTCTGTTTTTCTCCAAGATCCCACGGACATCATATTGCACCTAGTTTTAAGAAAAAAGAGAGGAGTAAACTGACTGAGAGAATAGCTCCCGGTCACAAGCAACTTCCTTAAAAGATCCACAAAAGAAAATAATTCCAATACATTTATTTATTTATTTATTTTTTAAGAGACAGGGTCTTGCTCTGTTGCCCAGGCTGAAGTGCAGTGACAGTGATCATGGCTCACTGCAGCCTCAATTACTTAGGCCCAGGCAACCCTCACACCTCGGTATCCAGAACAGCTAGGACAACAGATGTGTCACCATCCAGGTTAATTTCTTAAAAAAATATCATGTAGATATTTTTTATATCTATGTTGCCCAGCTTGTCTCAAACTCCTGGCCTCAACTGATCCTCCTGCCTCAGCCTCCCAAAGTACTGGGACTACAGGTTCATGTGAGCCACCACGTCCAGTCCAATAAACTCATGATTAGCTTCTGAAATGTCTGTTTTCTCTGAATACCAAAAAGGCAAATATCAATAGGTATCTTAATAAAAAGTTACCTCTCCAGCATAGTGCTTCACGCCAAAATTGTTAACTGCAACTCTGGGCTTCACATAAAAGTGATTATTCTAAAAAAAAAAAAAAAACAAACATACAATGCCTTATTTCACTCACTGATTTCCTTTGACTTCCAGAGAATGCTAAACACAGCAGACAGTGACAATCATTTCCAAACTTGCTATGGATCTGAGTTTCAGTACACGACATATAGACCACTTTATAAAAACTATGTTAACTCTCAACTTTATCATTGTAATAGATTAACAATTTTAAGTTCTCTAAATAAACTTGGGCATTCTGACAAGCAGCCCCAAATCTAACCCTTTTGCTTATTTCAATTCAGTTCTAGTAATAGGTGAACAGCTTTGGTTTGAGAATGAAAGTTCAACGCGGGAGGCACAGTTGGGCCAATGGACTGACATGTCTGGTTTGTGACCCTAGCCCACAGATGTGCTACTCCGATGTGATTAGGAATTGGCAGGTTTCCACATACAGCATGCTGACTATGTAGCTTCTCCAATAACGTGCTGTCTGTGGCTTGAGGAAAATGGCTTTCTTCATTAATGAGGGCTAGGAGGCCAAGTTTCTAGAAGAAAGAAGAGAAAGAAGAAACGAATTAAAAGTTGAATGTGGCTGGGTGCAAGGTGGCTCATGCCTGTAATCCCAGTACTTTGGGAGGCTGAGATAGGTGGATCATTTGAGGTCAGGACTTCGAGGCCACCCTGGTCAACACAGTGAAACCCTGTTTCTACTAAACATACAAAAAAATTAGCCGGGCAGGGTGGCACACACCTATAATCCCAGCTGCTGGGGAGGCCGAGTCAGGAGAATCGCTCGAATCTGGGAGACGGAGGTTGCAGTGAGCCAACATTATGCCACTGGACAGTGGAGTGAGACTCACACTGTCCACTGGGTGACAGAGTGAGACTCTGTCTCAAAAAAAAAAAAAATAAAATAAAGGAAGTTGAATGTCTGCCTCCTAAACTATTTTAGCTCTTTTCTACTCTCTATCAAATGAGTGGTGAAAAGAAAAGGCATGGTAATTTCTTGATTGGAAAATCCATAATGATACACTATAGAGAAAACCAATTAATTTAAGTTCTATATAAATCCTTAAAAAAAAATTGAACCCATTGCAATTTTGTGGATAAAACTTTTAAAACGGGCAAATCTATATCGGTACTGGCAGGACTTTTCTTCCGACTTAAAATCTAAGGGAAGCCAATTCACACACACTGTTGATTCTAAAATACTGAGTTCAATGAGACAATAGGTTTGAAGCAGCCAAGTATTTAAATTCAATCTTGCACATTTACATCTATGTTTCCAAATGGTCCATTGTGTTCTAAACATTCACGTCTTTGATGTGCGTGTTGGCGCAGGTTATTTTGTTCCCATACATATGAATCAGCCCAGCTGGACACCCTTGGGACTATAACCATTCTTCAAAAATACATTACCTTCTCAATCAAGTCCAGGCATTCTCCATTGTCTATCCAGTCAATATCTTCCCACACCAATCCTTCCCTGTAGTAAGATTTAAAAGAGCCAAGTTAAATGAAAACATAGCTTTGAAACTATCTAATCTAGTTGCTGCTTTAAAAAAATTAAAATGGAATTCTATGAGTGCTTACCGGCTATATTCTAGTTGTTCTAAAGAAAAAATATGCTTGTTGAAGTATTCCTGAAGTTTCTCATTTGCATAGTTTATATTGAACTGTTCAAAGTGGTTAACCTAAGGAGGGAAAGCATTCAGTAAGTATCTTTAGCGCACTCACTATTACAGCTAGTGCTCGACTTACAACCACGATTGGTTCCGACAGACCGGTCGTAACACGATTTGGTCGTAAGTTGAGTAGGCTATATGTACAGTACTGTGAAAAGATGTTATAAAAACCTTTAAGTCATATTTTACAATTTTCTTTCATTATTGTTATATATCATAATTTTCTTTGTTCATTTTATGCCATTTGTATCATCTCTACACCATTTTGTTTCTTATTTTTACATTCGTCAGGTTTAAGTAAAACACTGCATTACCAGTAGTAAAGGTTGACCTGAATGCTTATTATGAAAGCATTCTTGTCAAATCTCATTTTTAAAAAGCCACCTTAACTTGTGGTAAAGGTGCAGCCTTGTGTAAAACTGTGGAATATTTACAGATCACTGAACCACGGTGGTCTACGGTTTGAAGTGAAAAACCACGGCACATGATGAGTTTGGAAAAGCAGAAGAGTATGAACTATGTTAAGTCTTAGGGTTAAAAAGGACTAGTTGCCAGGTATTTATTTATTATCATTGTAAACAGAAAAGTAAATCATCACAATTTTACGTGACTTTCCATGGGATACAAATATGTAGCATTCATCATAAAAGATGTCATCTGGATATCTTGTTCAAATATAATTTAAACTTAGTATGTTCTAATATTGTTAAAGATACAGGGATATAAACCACTCACATTTTAGTAAGAAAGGCAGGAAAATGACTAATAATGATATGATATAGCATATATGTTTATGTGCTATATGTATTGTCCCGCACTGTCGTACGCCCAGCTGGGCAACGTTTGCGCTGCCAGACGCGGAGCAGTCATGGCTAGCGATTGTGGTCGTAAAGTCGAATGGTCGTTAAGTTGATCAATACCTGTATATGGAAAGGTGAAGGAAAGACAAAAAACAGATCTGCGAAGAAAAGTATCAGTGCTTGTTGTGTGGTGTGATGGCTCAAGCCTGTAACCCCAGCACTCTGGGAGGCTGAGGCGGGTGGATCACCTGAGGTCAGGAGTCCAAGACCAGCCTAGCCAACATGGTGCAACCCTGTCTCTACTAAAAATACAAAAAAATTAGCCAGATGTGGTGGCAGACACCTGTTATCTCAGCTTCTTGGGAGGCTGAGGTGGGAAAATCACTTAATCTGGAGGTGGAGGTTGCAGTGAGCTGAGATCACGCCACTGCACTCCAGCCTGGGAGACAGAGTGAGGCTCCAAGTTAAAAAAAAAAAAAATTGTTTACAGAGATTTGTTCAATAGCAGCTAATCATGGACAGAAGAGAATTCATGTGCTGCACTGTTAGGAAGCCTACCTCAAAGTTCTCAAATCCAAAGATGTCAAGGATGCCAATAGATTTGAAGTCCTCATTGCCTTTGATCCTGCTGTTGATCTTCTTGATCACCCACTCAAAGCAGCACGCATACAGAGCCATGGCCAGGGAGTCCCTGCTGTCTACTGCCTGTGGGAGAGGAAGCGGCACAGACCCAGCTGACCCCAGGCACCCCAGACAGGCAAGGCCATCCTGCCCCACTCGAGAGACAAGCACGAGACTAGCATGGCACCTGGGCTTCCAGTGCAAAGTCAGTCGATACCACCCAGGAAAGGACAGATATCTAAAGAAAAGATAAACTAGAGTTCATAGCTGGATGCGGTGGCTCATGCCTGTAATCCCAGCACTTTGGGAGGACGAGGCAGGCGGATCACAAGGTCAAGAGATCGAGACCATCCTGGCCAACATGGTGAAACCCCATCTCTACTAAAAATACAAAAAATAGCCAGTCGTGGTTTGTGTCTGTAGTCCCAGCTACGCGGAAGGCTGAGGCAGGAGAATTGTTTGAAACCGGAAAACAGAAGTTGCAGTGAGCCGGGATTATACAACTGTACTCCAGCCTGGTGATAGAGCAAGACCCTGTCTTAAAAAAACAAAACAAACAAACAAAAAAACACTAGAGCTCATATATTTACTTTCTGTTAAGATTAAATACCAGGATTCCAAACTCAACTTTCTATGCTGAGTTATACAAAAGACTCTAAAGCATAAATACAGGTACAAATGTTACCAGGTTTAAACAATAATTAAGATGCAAGTTTTTTTTTATTTTCTCATTTTCCATTTTCCTTTGTATTTACAAAGTTTTTCTTCATAATGTGGTCAGCATTTTTATTTGTCCAATTAAAAACACATTAGAAGAGTGTGATGGTGAATACTGAGTGTCAACTTGATTGGACTGAAGGATACGAAGTATGAATCCTGGGCCCATCTGTGTGGGTGACATCTGAGTCAGCGGGCTGGGGAAGGCACATCCACCCTTAATCTGGTGTGCACAACCTAATCCGCTTCCAGGGAACATAAAGCAAGCAGAAAAACATGAAAAGGAGACATGGGCCTAGCCTCCCAGCCCCCATCTGTCTCCCGTGCTAGGCACTTCCTGCCCTTAAACATCGGACTCCAGGTTCTTCAGTCTGGGGACTTGGACTGGCTCTCCTTCCTCCTCAGCACACTGACTATTGTGGGACCTTGTGATTGTGTAAGTTAATACTTAATAAACTCCCCTTGATCTGTCTATTTGTCTATCATATTAATTCTGTCCCTCTAAGGGAACCCTAATACCAGAGCCAGCAGATACACATGAGCTCAAGGTGCTAGCAGAGGCAAAAATGAATACAACATATTGTTATACAGCTTTCATTATAATAACAACACATTATTGCTGTAGCTAATATTTATTTAGTGCTTACTCTATACTGGGCATTAAATGTTCTGCATGTATTTGTTGTTTTTATTCTTATAAGAATCCTATGAATTAGGTATGATAATTATCCTTGTCTTATAGAGGAGAAAACTGAGGTATAGTGAATAAATTTCCCAAGAATAAACATTAGTAAGTAGAAGGGTCAAGTTCAAAGTCAGGTAATCTGCATTCAACCCATCCTCTTAAACAACAATTAGATGTTGCTTTAGACAATTAGACAACAACTCAATAGCTTTGCCTATTCCCAATCCTTGGGTGTCTTCTTTATTTTGATCATGAACCAAAGTCATTTGAACAGTTATTACTATATTTCAGTTATAATATAACTGTTATTATGATTATATATTGAAATCAAACCTATGGATCTGAAAACCCACGAGTGTCTCATAAGGCAAGGTTGGCTGGCAAACCGTGTGTACCTGTTGAACACTGAGAGGCGTGAGGATCTCTTCTCCCCTGAGGAACATTGATCTCTGGGTCAGAGCATCTGTGAGCTGTGTTGGGTCCAGCCCAAGTAACTCTGCAGATCTGCCCAAAGCTGCAAACAGAGAATAAGACAAAGGTGAAAGGACCCACTGCCCCCAAGAAGCTAACCACCCTTAGTGATACCTTCATGCAGAGAACACTCCTGAATCCCTCAGGCAGAGTTTAGAGATTGCATGTTATTGCTAAGTTATTCCGTCCCTTGGTGAATCCTAGGTTAGTAGCATAGATCCTTGGGCTTGGATAAGTGAGATCTGCTAATCCCATGGGTGTCCCCAGGATCCTGTCAGAAGTTTGCAACTAATTTCTTTCCTTCTTTTTTTGGGATGGAGTCTCACTCTGTAGCCCAGGCTGGAGTGCAGTGGCATGATCTCGGCTCACTGCAACCTCCACCTCCCAGGTTCAGGTGATTCTCCTGCTTCAGCCTCCTGAGTATTTTTAATAGAGGCAGGGTTTGAGCATGTTGGCTAGGCTGGTCTTGAACTCCAGACCTCAAGCTATCCGCCTACCTTGTCCTCCCAAAATGCTGGGATTACAGGTGTGAGCCACCATGCCCTGCCTACTACTTTCATTAAGAACACTAAGATGTTACCTGCTTTTTTCACTCTCCTTCTCTCAACAGTATACAGATGAGTATTCCAAAGGCTACCTAACATGAGGTATTTCAACAAATTAAATGCAGAAGAGATATGACAACCCAACTTTCTTTTCTTTTTTTTTTTTTTTTTGAGATAGAGTCTTGCTCTGTTGCTAGGGTAGAATGCAGCAGTGACACGATTTCAGCTCACTGCAACTTCTGACTCCTAGGTTTTGCTTGAGTTAAAATTTTTTTTTTTTTGGAGACAGAGTCTCACTTTGTCACCCAGGCTATACAGTGCACTGGTGTGATCTTGGCTCACTGCAACCTCCACCTCCCAAGTTCAACAGATTCTCATGCCTCAGTCTCCCAAGTAGCTGAGATTACAGGTGTGCACCACCATGCCTGGCTCATTTTTGTACTTTTAGTAGACACAGGGTTTCACCGTGTTGGCCAGGTTGGTCTTGAACTCCTGACTTCAAGTGATCCACCTGCCTTAGCCTCCCAAAGTGCTAGGATTACAAGCGTGAGCCACTGTGCCCAGCCAAAAAGTTTTAACTTTTTTTTTTTTTTTTTTTTTTTTGAGTCGGAGTTTCGCTCTTGTTTCCCAGGCTGGAGTGCAATGGCGCAATCTTGGCTCACCGCAGCCTCCGCCTCCTGGGTTCAGGCAGTTCTCCTGCCTCAGCCTCCTGAGTAGCTGGGATTACAGGCACGCGCCACCATGCCCAGCTAATTTTTTGTATTTTTAGTAGAGACGGGGTTTCACCATGTTGACCAGGATGGTCTCGATCTCTTGACCTCGTGATCCACCCGCCTCTGCCTCCCAAAGTGCTGGGATTACAGGAAAAGTTTTAACTTTTAATGTGGTAAACATCAACAGATACATCCCACATAAACAAAGCTCTCAGGTTCTATGATTTTTGAGAATTTTATTAAGAGGTGCCAGGTGGAACTAGACATTTGAGAATTACTGACCCGCAGTACTAGGCTTCTCTAGAACCATTCTGAACCTGAACTCATCCAATTTCCAGCTTCCATGACCTCACCTATTGCTTCCATCAGAAAAGTTTTAAATATTAAATACATAAATCACTCTAGCAAAATGACAACAGACATAGCTATGTTTATTAACTGATTTTTTTTTTTTTTTTTAAACGGAGTGTTGCTCTGTCACCCAGGCTGGAGTGCAGTGGTGCTATGTTGGCTCACTGCAACCTCCGCCTCCTGGGTTTAAGCAATTCTCCTGCCTTAGCCTCCTGAGTAGCTGGGACTACAGGCACCCACCACCATGCCCAGCTAATTTTTGTATTTTTAGTAGAGATGGGGTTTCAGCATTTTGCCCATGCTGGTCTCAAACGCCTGACCTTGTGATCCACCCACCTTGGCTTCCCAAAGTGTTGGGATTACAAGCGTGAGCTACTGCACCCAGCTAACTCATTTTATCTTGACAGCAAATCTCTGAGACACTGTACAGGTGAGAAGTCACGAGTGGTCAGGGGATAAATAACACAGGAAACAGCATGAGGCAGGGGAGGGTTATGAACCCATCATCCTGGCTTGCAAAACAAAGGGCCTTAACCATTCTACCATGCCGGCACTCAACAGGAGTATGCCACCTGACTCTCAACACTTCCCTATGTCGATTCCTGGTTGCTCACATTTCCATGTATTTGACTCATTCTCCTTCTTTCTTTGTAAGAAAGAGAACACAGCTGCTATCCCAATTCACTAGTAACTTTTCATACACTCTGAGCCTTTCTTAACCGATGCTTCGTATCTGATATAGCTAACATTCTGTAGATCTCTATTAAAGGAGTCAGAACATTTTCTCTCTCTCTTTTTTTTTTTTTTTTTTGAGCCATGATCTCACTGTCACCCAGACTGCAGTAAAGTGACGTCATCTCAGCTCATTGCAGCCTCGACTTTCGGGGGCTCAGGTGATCCTCCAACCTCAGCCTCCTGAGCAGGTGAGATTACAGGGGCACGCCATCATGCCTGGCTAATTTTTGTATTTTTAGTAGAGATGGGGTTTGGCTTTATTGCCCTGGCTAGTCTTGAACTTGTGGGCTCAAGCAATCTGCCCGCCTTCACCTCCCAAAGTGCTGGGGTTACAGGCAAGAGCCATAGTGCCTGGCCAGAATTTTCTCTCTAAAAGGCCAGATAGTCAATAATTTAGGTTTAAGTTTCCTGTGAGGAACAAACAAGGAACAAAGGGAGGGAGGAGGGCAGGCAGACGTAATCTTACCTGTTTTGAAGGAAACCTGTGCCCCACCAGCAGTGATAAATTCTATGTTCCCAAGATGCAGTATACCCGCGAGCAGCCTCAACACTTCCCGAACTTCTTCCTTGCTGAACTGCATCACGTCCATTGCCGTCTAGAAGAAAATAAACGCATTTAATTTTATGTTGTTTTTTTGCACTGAAGAAAATGTAAAATACCCCTGACAATATAAAATGACCAGGTGTTATTCAAAAGGCAAGGAAACAGACCAGGCACGGTGGCTCACACCTGTAATCCCAGCACTGTGGAAGACGGAAGCAGTGGATCATGAGGTCAGGAGGTCAAGATCAGCCTGGCCAACACAGTGAGACCCCACCTCTACTAAAAATACAAAAATCAGTCAGGCATGGTTGCGCCTGTAGTCCCAGCTACTTGGGAGGCTAAGGCAGGAGAATCACTTGAACCCAGGAGGTGGAGGTTGCAGCGAGCTGTATTCCAGCTTGGGCACCAGAGTGAGACTTCATCTCAGAAGAAAACAAAAAAGCAAACAACCAAAAAAATAAAAGCCAAGGCAACAAAAAATAGATGCATAACCACTCACTTTTTTTTTTTTTTTTTTTTTTTTGAGACAGGGTCTCGCTCTGTCACCCAGGCTGGAGTACAGTGGCATGATTTTGGCTCACTGTAACCTCTGCCTTCTGGGGTCAGGCGCTTCTCATGCCTCAGCCCCCCGAGTAGCTGGGATTACAGGAGCATGCCACAAAGCCCAGCTAACTTTTTTTTTCCATTTTTAGTAGAGCGGGGGTTTCACCATATTGGTCATGCTGGTCTCGAACTCCTGAACTCAACTGATCTGCCCACCTTGGCCTCCTAAAGTGCTGGGATTACAGGCATGAGCCACCACGCCCAGCCCATAACCACTCACTTTTAAAATGATGAAGACTTTACACAGTACACATAAAAGAAGGAAGATAAAGAACTACAGAACACTCAGAGATGATCAATGAAATAAACACAGTGTCTGCCTTACATATAAGCCTCCTACATATGGTACAAAAGAATTACCTCAGGGAGTTGCAGTCATGACAACGATAAAAAAATAGTTTTCTAGGCTGGGCTCGGTGGCTCATGCCTGTAATCCCAGCACTTTGGGAGGCTGAGGTAGGTGGATCACGAGGTCAGGAGATCGAGACCATCCCAGTCAACATGGTGAAACCCCATCTCTACTAAAAACGCAAAAATTAGCCTGGCATGTTGGCATGCACCTGTAGTCCCAGCTACTCAGGAAGCTGAGGTAGGAGAATCACTTGAACCCGGGAGGTGGAGATTGCAGTGAGCAGAGATTGTGCCAATGCACTCCAGCCTGGGCGACAGAGCAAGACTCTGTCTCAGAAAAAAAAAAAAAAAGAAAGAAAGAAAGAGTTTTCTGTACAGCTAACAGAACGTAATGAAAAATAAGTTATTCTTTAGGTGCAAAAAGGTGGAGAGGGAATACTTGCAGAGGGGTTTTTGTTTTGTTTCATTTTGTTTGTAGAGATGAGGGTCTCACTATGTTGTCCAGGCTGGTCTCGAACTCCTGGCCTCAAGCAATCCTCCCATGCTGTAGTTCTTTATCTTCCTTCTTTTATGTAATTCCAGCCTTCCAAAGTGCTACAACTCCAGGCACGAGCCACCATGCCTAGCCAAGAGTTTTAAAAAATTAGCCAGGTGTGTTGGTGCGTACCTGTAATCCCAGCTCCTGGTGGCTGAGGCAGGAGTATTGCATGAGCTCAAGAGTTCAAGGTTACAGTGAGCTATGATCACATGTGTACTCCAGCCTGGGTGACAGAGTTAAGACCTTGGCTCTTAAAAAAAAAAATTAAATAAATGTTGATGGAAAATCTAAATAGATCTGGACCTGTCTTCCTTGGACAGTCATCACATCTCTATTTTTAATTTCTCCAAAGGATTTTTTAAGGTCTTATCTTGGCTTCAGGATGCTACGTGGAAATTAACACAATGCTGTTTGGGGAAAAAAAAAAATAAATAAGCACTTACAGGAATTTGTTACCAACAAGTATCTCAACAACTGAAGCCAGGTGTTTTCTGAATCATGTCTAAGATTTGCTCATTTTCTATTGTGACTGAGGAGCTGCATTCTTATGACCAAAAAAAAAAAAAAAAAAAAAAGCTACTAAAAAGGAAAAGAAAACCACACACACATACACACAAACCCAGGGGCAGATTTGTTGGCAATAGGGATGAAAATGACCTACAAAAAGAACTTGGACCCACACAAGGACCACGGAAGAGTAGGAAGGAACCCACGCACCGCTCTGAAGCAACAGAAATTGCAAAAGGAAACAACTGGAGATTTAACACTGCGAAAAGTTCCATTTCTTTTTTGAGATGGAGTCTCGCTGTTTTGCCCAGCCTGGTGTACAGTGGTGCACAATCTCGGCTCACCGCACCCTATGCCTCCAGGGTTCACGCGATTCTCCTGCTTCAGCCTCCTGAGTAGCTGGAATTACAGGCATGAACCACCATACCGGTAATTTTTGTATTTTTAGTAGACATGAGGTTTCACCATGTTGGCCAGGCTAGTCTCAAACTCCTGACCTCAGGTGATCTGCCCACCTCAGCCTCCTAAAGCGCTGGGATTACAGGCATGAGCCACTGCACCCAGCCAAGATTAATTTCTTTATAAAGAAAAAGCAATAATGGCAGAAAAAAAAGGCAAACAATGGAGAGGGAAGGAATGAAAGCTCCACTGAAATATACATGAATGACAAAAATAGGGAGAAATGCATATCCAGAGTACTGTTTTCCTTCCCAGAAATCGAACATGTACAAATTAAGGTAAATATGAGATCAGTTCTGTCAAATTAGCAAGAAATTTTGGAATGATAAAGATTGGCAGGAAAGAGACATTTATATACTGCTTGTTAGTGCTATAAATTAGTATAATCTTTTCGGAAGAACAACATGATTATCTGACAGAATTGTCCTATGTACATAATACGTATATAATATTAGAATTTTCATATCTGAGAAAAAAAACAACAAAGATTCAGAGAAGAAAAATAACTTTCTCAGGGTTGCACAAGCAAAATTCAAAGTCTGGCCCAACTGACCCAAATCTAGGAACTTACTACTATTATTGATTACTATTATTATTTTGATATAGGGTGTCACTCCCATCACCTATGCTGGAGTGCAGTGGGTGATCACGGCTCACTGCAGCCTCAACCTCCCAGGTTCAGGTGATTCTCCCACCTCAGCCTCCTTAGTAGGTGGGGTAACAGGTGGAAACCACCACACCTGTCTAATTTTTTGTACTTTTAGGAGAGATGGGGTTTTGCCATGTTGCCCAGGCCAGTCTCAAATTCCTGGGCACAAGCAATCTGCGTACCTAGGTCTCCCAAATTGCTGGGATTACAGGCATAAACCACCATAACCAGTGAGGAGCTTTTTATTATCCACCCAACTCTATTACTTTATAAAGGCATAAAAAAAGAAATCTACATAATCTCCCATAATTTCAATGCTAAAAATTTGTTTCAAGGAAAATTTCAAGAGCAGGAAAAAAACCTTTAGAAAATATTCACCACCATTGTTACCTTACTAACACTTTGAGAGAAAAAAAAATAATTCTAATTATTCTACGATTAGACAAGTTAAATATAGTAAGTTATATAAATATTGTTTACTTTTTTTTTTTTTTTGAGATGGAGTTTCACTCTTGTTGCCCAGGCTGGAGTGCAGTGGCATGATCTCAGCCCACCGATGCCTCCGCCCCCAGGTTCAAGCAATTCTCTTGTCTCAGCCTCCCGAGCAGCTGGGATTATAGGCACACACCGCCATGCCCAGCTAATTTTGTATTTTGAGTAAAGACGGGGTTTCTCCATGTTGGCCAGGCTGGTCTCGAACTCCTGACCTCAGGTGATCTGCCTACCTCGGTCTCCCAAAGTACTGGGATTACAGGCGCAAACCACTGCACCCAGCCTATTGTATACTTTTTAAAGAAAAGTATGCACATTATATGGAGACACAGTTATATTTACTGTAGCTTTCTATAAAAAAGCAAAAAAGCTATTTTGTACCCATAATTATTTTTAAAATTCAGGCTGGGAAGAAAATTGATAAAATTGAAAATATTTCCAATAGTTACTGTTAAGGGTTAACTGTGAGTTTACGGTGCTGGCAGGCTCAGGAACATTCTATTCTAGCACGTCTTTTTAATGCTGCTGCCAATATTTTTACAACGAAAAAATGAGACAATCAATGGGTGAATGGATAAACAAAATGCTGTCTAGTCAATGGAATACCAAAGAAAGCAATTACTAGTGCTACGGGCCACGTGGATGGCTGGAGGAAGCTAGACACAAGAGAATACATAGTGTGTATTTTAGTTACATGGGACTCGAGAGAAGATAACCGTACACTGGAAGAACTAAATCAGTAGTTTCCTAGGGCCAGGTGTGAAGGGTTAAGATTGCCTGGGAAGGGGCAGAGAAACTTTTGGGGTGTAAGATTCCTTTTTATCTCGATCACGGTTGTGGGTAAATGGGTGTGTAAATTCAAAGTTCATTGCAATGTATACTTTTTTTTTGTTTTTTGGTTTTTTTAGACAGAGTCTCGCTGTGTGGCCCAGGCTGGAGTGTGGTGGCGCCATCTCAGCTCACTGCAACCTCCATCTCCCAGATTCAAGTGATTCTCCTGCCTCAGCCTCTCGAGTAGCTGGGCCTATAGGCACGCGCCACCACGCCCAGCTAATTTTTTTTTTGTATTTTTAGTAGAGACAGGGTTTCACTATGTTGGCCAGGATGGTCTTGATCTGTTGACCACGTGATCCACCCACCTCAGCCTCCCAAAATGCTGAGATTGCAGGCGTGAGCCACCTCATTTGGCCAGCACATATACTTTAAATGGGCACATTTTATTATGTGTTCATTATATCTCAGTAAAGTTGATTATAAAAATTAAAATACCATGACTTATTTAAAGGTGGGAAGGCAATCATTTCATGCATACAAACAGAAACCAACACAAAGAATAAGAACTACTGATCAAGTCCTTATCAATAAAAAAAGTCTATGAGAAAATAATTATTCAAATTTAAAGATATTTATCAGTGACTTTTTCTAAAAGGAAAAAGCAAAGAAATACGGTTAG